GAGAGAGAGAGAGAGAGAGAGAGAGAGAGAGATCTTTATCAAATGATATTTATGATCAATGATATATACAAATGATATATATATAAATAATTTTACTATGACTTGTCTAATAAAAAATTTAACATCATTTAACATCAATATTTGAAATATTTATTTCAATGATTGATTTTCTAAAGGAATTTAATATTCAAAAAGAAAATTTCTTTAAATAGTTGAATGTTATGTTTATTTTGACGTCAATCGTACATTAATTATAATAAGTAATGTGAGAATATACAATAATAAAAATAATTAATATAATAAAAATATATAATAAAAAGTTATTGATGTCGATTTATTGTATAATTATAGTAAATATATATGACAGTATATAACAAAAGAGGATAATTATTTTATTAGTAAAAAATTAGTAATATAGATAACATATTTTTTTAATTTGAAAATAATAACCTAGACAACGCATATGTCTATAGGACGTCTTACGTATCATTTACAAGTGTGCTGTTTAAACATCTATAAATATTTAAATATCTATAAATAACAAAGGAAAAACAAAAGCTATAAATAAGAAGAATAATTTTTTTTTAAAGTTAAATTTGTTAATACAAATAGTTAAAAATATAAAATCTTGACGTTCCAATTTACAAAAACTTCTTCAGCCATGAAAGTAATCAAAAGAATATAAGAATATGAAATGAATAGATTTAGTAAATTAGGAACAAATTCGCAAGTATTGATACGGGTCATCAAAATTCAAATGTCAAATTAAAAAATTAGATGCAAATAACAATAAATAAATTGAAATAAGATAAAGGAGATATATACCATAGCGGAAAGATCTCGCTGATAAAATTCTATTTATCTATAAAATCTATATAAAATCTATCTATAAAATCTATAAAATCTATATAAAATCTATCTATAAAATCTATATAAATATATTTGATGATTACGAGATCTTTTTAAAATTCAGAATTAAACAAACATATTTCTATGTTTCAATTTGCACGTATCGTCATCTTCCAAATTAGGTAATCTCTCGCGATACGATATTTAGCTAATCTATTCGCGCCAATGTTATCGCGTGCATTTGTAACGGGAAGAGATAAACAATTAAAAAATACCGTGTAATAATAAATGCCACGTGGGAAAAAAAATTTTTGCAACCAGAGATTGTCACTTTGTTGAAATTCGCTGCATTGTACGGAATAAGTGGCTATTTTACGTAATCGTCCTTGCACGTTTGTAATAAAAACCAGGGAATCTGGTAGCATCTAAAAGCATCTATTGTTCGGTCAATCGTGAACTACGAGTAACTAATAAATTAAATCATGTGAAATATTTGTCATTACGCGAGCCCGCTTTGAGGCGATTAGCGAGGGCAACTGATGGAAGCATCGCGATAATGTTAATGAACGGAAGTTTCCAACCACATATAGCATACTACTCACATGTATTCGTTTACATAGATTTATAATCTAACTTACTACGATACATGCTTGTTTATTTCTTATTTATTTCTTTTTCTCTTTCCTGTAAGAAGTTAGATATAGTGAAAGACTAAAGAATTAAATTTTGACATATGGAAATTTTGACATATGCTTCAATATCAACCATGCACAATCAAGAAATATCAAATTCGTTCTGTCATTGGTCAAAAGAAATTTTCCGTTCCTAATTTTTTATACTTACTTGCTTATTCCTTATTGTCGTCTTTTGTATTTAAATTCTAATTCGACAATTTGCTTTTCCATTACTCGGTACATCTCGTTGATCGAGATATTCGTTGTGAAAGGAATAATTTTTTCGTTATTTCTGCAAAAATTTGAAAACTTGCTACGCCTCCACGAAAATACATTTTTTTTCGCTTACCATCATCAACTTGAATCTATCTAGATTAATTTTCTGTGATTAATTAACTCCTAAAGTTAATTCCTTTTTAAAAGTTTGAATCAGACAAACGTTGCATCATTGCTCTTCCATTGATTAATATTTCGGATAGATTTCTCGCAGATTTGTACTTTCTTCTAATTTCATGTTCATCCTGCGTTTTCCAGGTGCACGAGATGGATCTGCTGCCGAAGCAGATGTGTCACCGGTGCAGTTATAAGCTGGAGGAGTTCCACAAGTTTTACGTGGACTGCTTGAAAACGGACGCGGCGCTCAAGAGTCAGCTGTCGTGGATGCGAAAGGGTGGCGGTAGGGAGAAGATCGGAGTGCCGATGGTGCATATCGAAAACGTGAAGATCAAAGCGGAGCCGCTCGACTACGACGTGTACGAGCTGGAGCCGTTGGTGGAAAACATCGATTATATCAATTCGATGAATTCGGTGGCATTTCGGACTGGCGGTATTCATGACGGGTTGACGTATGCGGCATTCTCGCGCTGCCGATGTTGTTGTGATAAGAAAGACCAAAGCAAACCGAGAAGAACCACGGCGGAACTTTGTCAGAATTATGAAGGACCACCAGTGTCTAGATGTCACAGGATCGCAGATGACTCGCAGAAAAGAACTCTCGAGGATACCGCCACTCGATTAAAACCGTACAAACAGAACTTCTTCACGCAAGCAGTCTTCCCGGATTGTCCGCAGAATCTGCCACGAGTCGAGAACATCGTTGAAAACGCTGTCGAGAATACGCCGGATCGTCTGGTCGCAGACACGAGTACCAAAGATAATGTAACTTCGCCAAAAATGTGGAATCATTCTCACGAATTGTTTGGTACATTTTCTGAAAGTCAGACGGCTGCTAAGAGTACGGCAGTGCGGAATCTAAGACCTAGGAAAAATCTAATAAATTACGCGCCGGATAAAAAGAGAACATCATGTATGAATCCGGGACTATCTGCGCCGAGTAAGACGAACGTTTCTAATACGAAGACAGCATCCGTCGTGGAGTTTGAGCCAATGCGACAGATCAAGGTAGAGCAGACGGACGAGTTTGAAGGCCGCAACTTAAGACCGAGAAGAAATGTCGTGGATTATCAGGAGCCGAAAATGAGGAAAGTGTCGGAATATCGCGTGAAGAGGCGCAAGATGGACGAGCCAAGTTCGAAACCGCACTCGAAGAACGAGATCCCATCGAATGCTGTGCATCTTAAAATCAAGCAAGAAACTCTAGACGTTCTGGAGAACATGTTTAGTGAAACGACCAACACGACACCCCAATTACCGAGCAAGTTTACCTCCTTACCCGCCAAGGTTGAAACAGTGAATGACGTCAATCTACGAGATGATTACTCTAAGTCGCGATTTCAAGCCAAGCTTCAGCTGGCTAAGCAAAAATTGCTTTCCAACATCATGAAAGACCGTCTGACGAAGACGAAGAAAACGTATCGATTCCCACCAGCGAATTATTCGCCGAAATGCCTGAGAAGTCAGGACGCTTATCTGAGAAATGGTAAGGCGAGAAACAAGGATTATGTGGAATGGTCAGTAAAGAGATTGCAGAAAAGGAAGCTGATAGACACGGTTAACAAAAGTGCCAAGAAATCATCGATATTGAAGTTATCTGAAAATATTAAGCATTTCTGCGAAATGTGCAATGTCAGCTTCATGAACAAGGAATTGTTCAGACTACACGCGTGTTATTATGATTGATCTTTCCCCGAGTACTCGAGAAACACGAGCCGTCTGAAAATTGTTCGGAGGATTAAGATATCTTATGAGTATCGCTCCCATAATTTTGAGCGGAACTTTTTGCTTTCCGTTCATCTTGATTCGTGAACTTTTTCATGAATCGCAGAGCGATTATGTATTGATTAAAGAATTGCATGATCCCGAAACATCGAGTTTACACGAAATTATTTTTTATGTTTATGTTTCTAAGAGAAAATTGTAACTGGATTTGTTAACGTTCGAAAAAGATTGGGACACTTCTTGACGAAAAATAAAATATATAAAGATTTAAAAAATCTGATTATGATAATGTGCATATGTATATTTTTTTGCAAATGTGCTTTTGATTTTTTTTTCCGAATATCTGAAATGCTTTTGTTTAAATTCAAACATCCTATAACGATAACGAGATAATCGTTTATAAAATGTGCCTGTCTCAAAAAATTTGACCAAATTTCATTATTTTGTTGACATCTACATTAGCTGTCTGGTTATCAATTTTATCTTTTTTTCGATGGAATTAATCATTTAATTAAGATTATCAAATGCACGGGTAAACGGGAAATAGCACAGAGTTTATGTACATAATGTACTTTAATTAGATTTAATATTATCTGTTATTTTCTTTATATAATTTGCTCTATATATGTAAGTGATGTAATATAGATATATATGTAATATATATAATATGGACATATTAAGATGATTTAGGGACAAAAATCCTAATATTAAAATATTACTGTTACAATAGCTTTTAAATGGGCAAGTAATAAAATTAAAAATGGCTAATTAAATCAAGACTGATTCAAAATTTATACGTTCAAATATGGTACATTTTATAATACTAAAAGTATTTTTATACATTAATTTGCATTTAAATATTAATTCTGTATTTATTTCTCAGTTCATGACTTTTCGTTTTTCTTATTTATCTAATTAATCTATTGCATCTGATATATTGATAACAATATAAATGATATATTTAAATGATTTTGCAAAATATTGATCTTCAAATGTGATACGCATCAAGCTTCCAATTATCATGTAGTTAATCATTATAATCATTATAGTATCAATCAGAAATTAAGATAGTATAATATAATATCAATAAGAAATTAGTTTTTTATGTGATTAATAAGATAATAAAGAATGAATACGTTAATAAATATAATTTTTCTGTAAGTGAAAAACAAAAAAGTTTTTCTTATGAAGATCTTGTAAAAAGTATGCGAATTTTAAACAATTTGTTTGGTCAACTTTAAATACTTCTCGTTTGAAAATTATTGTAGCTTATTGTATTATTTTGGGATTTTTATCTCAAACTACTCAAAAATCTATCATTAGATGATATGATAGATCTGGGACACCCTGTATATCCATACATATGGATATATATTATATATATTTATATACATATTTATATTTTGTTTGCTGACTTAAATATATTAAACCATAATAATGGATTACAATGTACGCTTAAGATTTTCTGTAGAAATTCACAAGTCGCCTTCGAAAATTGAGAAATAATTATATGAATATAGAGATAGAGGTATATTTTATGAGAGACAAAATATATAAATATATATATATGTCGATATTCAATGAAAACATGTGATATATGCCTGAAAATAATGACCGATTTTTTGGAAGACTTCACGTTATGCAAGTTAGCGGATGTAATAATCGAAAATCGCTCTTTCTATACTGTTACATCTCGAATTTTATATATTAATACAATCCATATTTTAACGATTATTCCATTCGAAAAAATTACATTTTGCTGTGTAGATACATATTTTCCTTACAGTTTCTTGATTGTTGAATGCATTCAGATTTAATTAATCACATTTGACACATACAATGAATATAATGAATTTGTTGAACAATTAATTACACTCTATTTTTCATCATTGTTAAATATTAAATTGAATAATATCGTTAAATCTTATTCACATATCGATATTAACTATTGCATTTCATGCAGTCTCTTATTGTTGCAGATTCTAAATTGTCGTCTGTCAATACAAATAAAGAAATAGTTATTGTTATTCCGTAGATATATCTTTTTCTCATATCATTTAACTGATTAATAAACGTTATGTAATTATATAGACATATAAATAACGCAATTTTAATTATTATAAAATCACTATCCAGGTCCCGTCATTCCTTGTATTTTTTTTAAATTCTACATGTAATATATATATATAATGACAGTGTTATAGAATTAACGACTTAAATAACAATAAAATGTTTCGACCAGAGAAATTAATTTTTAATTTTCTTATTACGTTGCGTTATAATTGCCGCTTTCCCCAAAAATTTTTTTAATTTCTATGGAGATGTACACGCATTTTTTTGCCTCTCTTTTTAATGCTTTTTTGGTATTTAACTGCAAAAATAATTTATATTTTTGAGAACCTAAAGTTACAATGATATTTGAATTAACATATACTTTTTTAATAATAAACGATTTTTAAATTGGATACATAAATTAATAAAGAAAAAAATTAGCTGTAGTAAGTTTAAATAAATATAACACTTTATTTTGCAATATATAATTTATTAAAAATTATAAGTACTCTTTTTTTTTATATATAAAAAAATTTCGAATTTTTCAAATTTGACTTTACATTCACTGTCAACGATATAAAAATTCATCCTATAAAACAAAATCTACATTTCAAAAAGTTAAGAGAAAATTGAAATTTTTTTATTTACATTAGAATTTATAATTTATACACACGAAAAAATAAATTTCTAATTTCTTGTCTAATTTTTGTATCTAACGTTTTTTAAATATATGACGGGTGTAAAGAGAAATGTTTGGCGTTTGTCGTTGCTGCGATTGCAGCGTCGCGCAGGGAGGAAAGGGGAGGGAGAGGAAATACAACGAGCGAACCGCAGGTAACAAACAAACAAAAAGTATGGCAGGTGTCAAGCAGTTCGCGAGAGATGACCGGTTGTGCACGGCGGTTTGACTTGATCTAATTGCGGCCAAGGAAAGGTGAAATGTCTTCTGGAGCCAGAAAGTCGCCGCGGATCGAGGACGTGAGTCACGCGTGTCGTTTTTCACTCACTGGCGCGCGCTTAACCTAAACCTACCGCCGAATCGGTTGATCCTCGAAATTTACGAACGTATCATGCATTCGACTCATCAAACGCGAAGATTTGTGTGACGAATCTATACTATTTTTAGTTGATCTCTACGGAGGATGACACTCTCGGATCCTCCATAAGCCTGAGCGTCGGAGAGAACTCGGTGCGCATCAAGGATAAACCTAAAATTACCAAGGAAGCTGAACAGTCATCGGCCGACAAGAAAGACGCGGCAGATAAATGGTGGTTGAAGAGGCCCGAGATTCGTCTGGGGATCCTCGGTGCCAAGAACGCAGATGCAAAAATGAAGCAGTCTCCTACTCCTTCGTCGGATGTCAGCTCTTCTATGAAAGAATTTCTTGAGAAGGAGAGAATGTGCAAGGTAACGAATTACAATGTCGAGTTATCATCAAGCAATCAAACATTTTCTGTATTAAGAGATTTGGAATATTAACTACTTCTATCATTTGTTTCTAATATGTTGCCCTAAACGATTTATAGGCGATATCCAAAAGCGAAGGAGAAGTGAAAGACAAAGATGACACGTTATGTGATATTCTCGCGTCTGCGGCTTTCGATAAATATCCATCAGACTTTGAAAGTAAGCTTATATGTTGCTCATAAAGTTTTATTATTCCAAGAGCTTTCTAAACCAGTGTTGACATTTGATTAATTTATTTGTATTTTATGCAGATGCCACTGACGAAGACATCGGTAGCATCTTAGAAGAGATGAGCAAGATTGCTGGGGCATTAAGTCCTAATTCATGCCCTGAACGTACAAAGTCTGGTGGCTCTAGTAAGAATCCTGAAGAAGAAAAATCTGTAGAAGAGTTATTAGAAGAAGCTGAGAAATTAGTTAGGAAAAATTGCAACACTCTGTCGAAAAGCACATCTAAATCTGACTTAATGCCAGAAAATCAAGATGAGAGTTTGAATCGAGTGAGGCAATTAGAAGCTGATATTTTTCAATTGATAGAGGAAGAAGTGCACAAGGAAACAGAGAAAATTAAGAGGAGCCCGAAGAACGAAAAGAAACGGGAGAACAGTCCCGGATTTGAAGTTGTTTATGAAAATCTGAATAATTTAAAACCACCGAAGACGCTAGAACTTCAAAAGAGGAAGTTTGAGGAACAGAAAGTTGAGATATCAAGCAGTTCCGATTTGGACGATCCAATCGAGAGGCATTCCAAGTCCGAGGAATTGAAAAGCGCAAAGAAAATCGAAATGGAGAAAGAGAATTTACAGAAAGAGATCACGGACGTGGACAAAGACTTTTTTGAAGATTTGTTGAGAAGGTCTAAAGAAAAAGCAGAGGGCGGAATGTCCGGAAGTTCTAGTTTCGGACAAGAAGATTTCTCGCATTTTTTGAAGCTACTTCAAGGACAGAATACGGACAAAATAGAGCCGGAATCAAAAGAGCCTAACGCGGTCTATGATCTCTTTCTAAAATCCAATGGCGAAGTAACATCTAAAGACGATCAATTAGTTAGTGGCAAAACCCCAGATTTTCCAGAAAAAGAATTCTCCGAAATATTGGAAAAGGAATTACCAGCCGTAAACGGCGCACATGTAGATCATGAAATTAATGAAAGCGATTCCAGTGCGAGTGAAGGACGTCATAAACGAACAACAAATCCTTTATCAGGCGGGGCAACGTTCTTAAAACATTCCAGTAACGAATCTAAAAAATCGAAAGGCGCAGAGAGGGAAGGTAAAAATGTGACAGAGGTCAATAAGAAGGCGATTGATCCCGAAGGTGAATTGTATACAGTAGGATTGACGCCGAGATTGGAATTATTCGCGGATGCGATACCCAAACTCATAGCTGAAAAGTTAAATGAAAATGTTGCAAAGGAGAAGCAGGAAAAAGCAGATTCAGTGAATAAGGAATCTACGTGCTCAGACACGAAGATTGAAACAAAAATGGAAAATTTATATGCCGCTAAAGTAAAATCAAAGGATTCGATGGAATCCGTGCCTCATCAAGAACTGGCTGATCACGGCGTTTCGAAAAAAGCAATAGAAGTACCTAAAACTGACCGTGTCGTTAGTGCACCGAGCAATAAGCAATTAAAAAAAGAGATACGATTCTGTAAGTCTAAGAGTTACGATCAAATATGCCACCCTCCAACCTTAAGAGGCTCTCTCGAAAATATTAGGATTAACAAAGCGTTGGAGGTGTCTAAAAAACCTGTAAATTCGGTTTCTAAAAAATCGTCGATGGTAAAGCCGAAAATACAAACCCGGCCGATTCCCAAAGCTACACCGAAATCCAACTCGTCCCTGAAATCAAGACTGGATTCCGTTAAAGTCGGTTCTATGTCCAATTTGCCGGCTGCGTGTAAAGCACCTCAGATGAAATCGCCCGACGGTTACAAGAAAAATTTTATGGCTGCCGGAGATTCGAAACAGATTCCAATGAAACGCGATTGGGAAATGTTGTGTCGCGAAGAAAGGCATAAGAATGCGCTGCTGAAACAACAATTAGAATCCGAGGCAAAACTATATAAGAGTCAAATTGAGGACATGCGTACATCCTTCGAAGGAGAACTGTTTGCCTTAAAGAAGCAGAATATAATTCTGAAGGCAAGAGTTGACGAGATGTCTTTGAATGAGAGGCGCGCGGAAATTCCGGCGAAAAACGACACGAAGATCGCTCTTTTAGAACAGGAATTAGAAAAACAGGAGAATCTGATTCGTGCTTATGAGACTGAAAATAAAAAACTTATGCAGGATACGAAACGTATGCAAGAAGAATTGAAGAATTTGCAGTCTAAGCAGAAGAGCACGGTATCAGAAACGAATCAGAACGACGTGCAACAGTTCGCCGATCGGATAAAGGATCTTCAGGAAGAAACGTTGAAACTAAATTTTGAGGTCTCTGAGCTGAGGGAAAAGAATGCCGATTACTTATTGAAGAATGACGACTTAATTCAGCAAAACAGCTTGCTCACGGACGAATTGGATATGTTCAAGGAACAGCTAAGAGCAAAAAATAATTTTATTACGGATCGACTGCAAGTGATGACTACCACAGAGTTGGAACTTAAAAAGCAGATTGAGGATTTGGGTATTAAATTAAACTCAAAGTCGGAACAGTTACGAGTGACGAGGCAGGAGCTAGAGAAACTTCAACAAAATGTGTTGCCCTTGGAGAAGGAACTGTTGGAACTCAGAGTCAGAGAGGGAAATCTTCAGGAAAAATTACAGATAAGCAAGAGCCATGTCGAGCGTGAAAAGCAACTGAGCCAGCGGCTTAAGGATCAGGTTATTCTGGACAATAAAAAGGTCATGGACCTGAATAGACAAGTGCGCGAGTTGGAGCGTATACTCAAGAGGAAGAATCCCGATTCGGTTTCAGCTCTTATTTTGACCGCCAATTCGGAACAGGATAAAATCGGTTCCGAAAAAGTAAAGCTCCTGGAGGAGAGGATAACGAGTCTCGAGAACGAGATTAAAACCAAAGAGGCCATCGCGCAACAGAATCTGGTTGATTTGCAGAGGAAATTCACTGACATGAAGGAGAAATACACGATACAGGTACTGGAGCTGGAGGCGAAATTGTTGGAGGCTAGCACGAAGGAACATAAGTTGTATAACGACATGTTCACGCAAACGACGTTCAGATACGTCGAGAGCAAGAACGGAGAGAACAATAAGAGAGACGACAGAACATCAGCTGAAGATAAGAAAGACCAGAAAACGATGAAGATTGGGCCAAAGTCTCAAAATCCGAAGGAAGACGCACATCTCCTTGCTACCATACGAGGCCTAAAATTGGAAATCGCGAACAAGGACAAAGCGATATCGAAGATAACTAAAGAGTATCAGGAACTCCAGAAGACGAATCGACGGCTGCAGAAGGAGCGGGAGAAACTACTGAATGATCGTAGGAGTTTCAGGAGCATGGATTTTGATAGAGCGTTCCGAGGAATGAAAAACGGTGAAGGGAACGATCAGAATTCAAATGTTTATCAGAACGGGCATGTTTCCGATTCGCAGAGATTGTCGTCGTCAACGCCAAAGTTATACGATCCCTTGCAGTACACGGAGAATGGCAAGAACGGAATCATAAAAAAATTGACTAACGAAAATGACATCTTGAAGGAGGAGCTTAATAAGATGAATAAGGACTTTATGGCGTTAAAGAGCAAGAGGTTGCACGATTTGAATCTCTTGCAAGAAGAACACGAGCGGGAGATGGCTACTCTCGTGAAAGAGTACAGCGTCAAGATCGGAGATTCTAAAGTGGTAAAGTTACAGGTTTGTAACGCTTTACGAGCACTCGCTTGTCCCTTATTTTATTTGCTTTTTATCATCTGGTTGCACAAAAGAAGGTAGTGGTAGTGAGTAATGGCTTTTGAATAGAATAAACTTTGCTTTGCTTGTATCTTGGTAAATTTTTCTGTTTCTCATTAGACTAGAAATTTTTACAATTTTTTTTTTTTCTTATTGATAGGGTCAGATTAATACTCAGGGAGCAATCATATCGCACTTAAAGGAGCAAATCGAAAAGTTTAGAGACTACAAGGAGCAGGTAGTTATATTGAAGGCTGAAAGGGAGCATTTGGAAAATAAGGTGAAGGCGTTGACTGAAAAAGTGGAGTATTTATCGACGCCGGTACGTGAAAAATAGTCAATTTTTTTAAGATGACTTTCAACACTGTTGATGTTTTTATTTCAGGGAACAGAACAGTTGCAATTGCTACAGGACAAGATCACGATTCTCCAACAACGGCACGAGAGTAGAGAGATGACCTTGCAGACGTTAGTTCGCGACTTGTTGAGGAGTAGAACGCAGTGCAAAGACTGCAAGAACGAGAAGGGCAAAAATCGACAACTCTGCTACTTTCGACAAGAACTCGATCATATCTTAGGGATGCTACAGGAGATTGCTAATATCCATTGATATTGCTGAGTTGAAGTCATCCCTAAATAGTCACGCAGCGTATTTGATGGTTCTTGATTCGTTCATCGAATATTGTGATAATTTTTATAGGATTAAGCGATGTAGCTTAAATAATTCGAGAGATATTAGCTATTGAAGTATAGATATAGATGCATAAACGCGTTCGTTCGCGATACTCAGCCAAAACGTTTGGTCGATATTTCCATCGACTCTTCCAAGATTAATGACAACTATTGCAATGTGCAATCTTTTTTCTTGCGTCCGTGACACCGTTTATTTTGCGAGGTCATCTAGAGCCCCGCAAATGACTCGGTAGGCCCGGATCACTGCCAAAGAGAGAAACACTATCGCGTAACCAGCCATAGCGTACATAATGACGAACGAACGTACGTTTAAACTAATTACAACTTTTTCCGCTCTCTCTCCATCGCCAATTTTCTTGCCACGTGCGCGCAATGTCTGGGAACACTGCCCGCTGTTAGCATAATCGACTTTATTGAATCAAAAATTAATTTTTAGAATAAGTCATACACTTTTAGGATTAAATATTTTTTTAATTATTTATTTATTGACCGCGAATGAAACAGCGTGGCTGCTCGCAACATTTTTTCGATCAATGTTGCTGCAGCTTGTTTTCTTATAATAAATTATATAGCATAACGATTGGAGGGAGGAAAAAGAAAAAGTAGTAAAGTTATGTAAAAAGAATCTTCGTAAGAGTTTCTTCCAAAGTTAAATGACATCTAGTTTTTTACGGATAATTTTTTTGTGAAACTTTGCTGTACATAAGCGTATAAGAGATAAGTCATTGTATTTATTTCGGATAATATTCCGCATCGGTTTATTCGCGATCAACGAAGTCGAGTCGATCGATTATATCATGTATATCATATTGTAAGTACTCTAGTTTATTACTACTGTTGCCAAGCCTAGCTGGTGATCTCGTCAAATATAGCCTTATTCGTATGCGTACATACAACAAACGCAAACACACCGCACAAATCGATGTGACCGAGACTTGAAAAAATCAACAATAGAATGTCTATCTTTTGTATATTCAATGCAAAGTCTGTACATTCTTCATAATAATTCCTGAGACTCGGTTATGTTGAAATACACACAATCACATCCTTTTTCTAAATAGACTTAAGCTTGTCACACGCGATGTACAAAATCCAAAATTATAAATTTAATAAATCTTAATCTTTCGCCGAAGATTAATATTTTTTTCTAGTGAAAATTAAAAGATTATTCCATATTAATATTTCCTCCGGATTCTTATTAAATAAAATGAAACCTAAGGAATATTGACATTAGACACACATACACACACACATATATATTATTTAATATTCTTAAATAAATAGTAAGAATCGTAGGAAGATTCTTAAATAGTAAGAATTATAGGAAGAAAGAATTATTTCAACGAATTTACGACTACAACTATTTATTTTCACACAAAATATATCTTTTTAGATATACATATTTTTCTACAGAATATATATATAGGCTGTACATTAATCTACATTCTGAGTATCTTTGGGAATAGTACACACATATTGCAACATAATATACCATAATTTATGAAATAAGAGAGTCGATAAAAGCAGAGGTCCAGGGAATAGCGATTTTCAATGCCATTTTTTGGTAGCCGATTATCATTCTTCAATTATTTTACCAGATTATGACGCGCTGCGCTTGCTGCAGTATGCTGCTGCTGTAAAAATATAAAACGTTAAGATGTTAATGTTTCTTAATGTTTCTTAATGTTTTATTTTTGTTGCTTTTTAAAAATTATTTTTATTAATAGTCGTGATCTGCTATTTTTAAAAAATTATATATAATATTATATGTAGCATATTTCAAAAATTCAAATTTTATATAATCTAAGTTAAATTATAAAATAATTATTTTGTTATATTACATTCTGAGAAATTGTTTACTAATTTTAATGTCTTACCCGATAAAGGATTTTTTTCCATTATAGAGAGAAAGTCCATAAACGGTACATAGTGCCAGAACGAAAGCTTGTCTCATAAGATGATAAGCCGTAGAATATTTGAAAAATTCATAGGCCTTCATTGAATTAGAAACTTTTCCTTTGGCTTCTACATTTTTTTCAACATGTGTGCCCTGTAAGTTTTGTTCCCATTTTTCGAATAATCGTTCATTGTCTATTATTTCAGAAAACAGTCTATCAGTAGACACCTTTCGTTGTTCGCGATTTTGTTCAGGTACGTATGAAGTTCGGACGACTCGGCGGAGAGAGGACAGTCTCGATGAGTCCTTGACATTCGAACGTGTTGATTTCTGATGTCTGATGGAGTCCTTTTCACGAAACTCGGCAAGTCGGTTCTCGATTGATCGAATCATACGACGTTCATTTAGATTTCTGATCTCGCGTCGCGCTTCTGATGAACGTGGGATCTGATTCTCAGAGGATACTGTTCTAGAATTCATTTTACGTTCTTTCGTCCGCACGGAAATTGGATTTCGCAATTCGGAATTTCGCTCCACGCGTCGATCCTGTATTCTAGATCGTTCACGCAACCTCGAGGTATCGTGAAGCCTTCGCTCCGACGATCTTCGCGAGTCTAAAACAGAGGATTTTTCCGAATTGCGAATGCGAGAAACTCGCAACTCTGGACTTCGTTCCAAACGTCGATCTGCTAGCCTGGATTCTTCGCGGGATCCTGAACTGTCATCGATCCTTCGCTCCGACGATCTTCGCGAATCGAGGACGGATCGTTTTTCCAGAATTCGTGCACGAGAAACTCGCAATTCTGGATTTCGTTCCAAACGTCGATCCATCAGCCTAGATTCTTCGCGGGATTTTGAAGTATCATCGATCCTTCGCTCCGACGATCTTCGCGAATCGAGGACGGATCGTTTTTCCAGAATTCGTGCACGAGAAACTCGCATTTCTGGATTTCGTTCCAAACGTCGATCTGCTAGTCTGGATTCTTCACGGAATCTTGAATTATCATCAATCTTTCGTTCTGACGATCTTCGCGAATTTAAGACCGACCGCCTTTCCAGAATTCGTGCACGAGAAACTCGCATTTCTGGACTTTGTTCCAAACGTCGATTCGCCAACCTGGATTCTTCGCGGGATCTTGAATTATCATCGATCCTTCGCTCTGATGATCTTCGCGAATCTGAGAGAGATCGCCTTTCCAGAATTCGTGCACGAGAAACTCGCATTTCTGGACTTTGTTCCAAACGTCGATCTACCAAGCTGGATTCTTTGCGCGATCTTGAACTATCGTCGATCCTGCGCTCGGACAATCTTGGTGAATTTGAACGTGCATTTAAAGTAACTCGTCGCTCCAAAATTCGCCTTTCGGGAATTCGTCGTTCAATCTCGCGAGATTTCCTCGCGGTCCTTTGTTCATCCCGTGATCGATGCACACGATTCGTCCTTTCTCGTCGCTCTACTGTAGAATCGCGTGATCTACGATCGTGATCTCCGGAGTCCTTGATTCTTGCAATTTCTCGACGATCTACCGAATTACGATCAAGTGAACGAGAGGCTCGTGCGAGTCTCTCTCTTCGTTCTCGACTCGCGATTCCTTCGACATTGTAACGTGTCCTGATCGTGTTTTCACGCTCGTCACGTCTACTTGCGTGATTAATTCTTTCTCGACGTATATCTTCAGATGAAATTCTCGACATTCTCCGATCAAGGGATCTTCGATCGGCGAAAATATTCTCAGCCTTTCGGCGTTGCGCGTGATCCATTTCGCGACGTTCCATAGATCGAGCCAAGGATCTACGCTCGTTGGATTTCTCGGCGCTGAATTCAGTCGATCTGATTCGTCTACTAAGTGATTCGCGATTGAAATCGTTGTCACCTAAACGTTCCGTCGATCGAGAAAGCATTTGACGATCGTTGGATCTAATAAGATCTCCACGAGAATTCCTGGCAGCAACCGAGAATTGTGATCTTCGATCTCGATTATCAACGCGGTCGAGAAGAAGACGACGATTTTCCAGAGACCGTTCCCGACTTTGGCGATCAAGATTATTGTTGCGATTTTCTCGCGCGATCTTGCGATCCTCGCGACGATCCGATCGTTCTGCGTTCCGATCATGGTTGATCAACGCACGTCGCTCGACAGATCGGGATCTACGTTCGCGCATTTCGAAACGATGATTCATACGATTTCGCGCGAGATTGCGATATTCGCGACGATCCGTTAGGCTTTCGCGTGATTCCTGCCGATTGACTCGTTGCTCCATCGAGTGTAATTTACCGTCACGACGATCGCTCGTACGACGCTGAAGATTCAGGGAGTCTCGACGGTTTGCCGATCGATGGACGCGATTTTGTTGTCGCGAGCTAATTTCATTGAGCTCGCGCCGTTCCGTGAATCGGCGATCTTCCACGCGGAAGTTTGCAGGATCAGTCAGACGGCGCTCGAAATTTCGCTCGGCAAAACGATGACCGTTTGCTCGATCGGATAAATCCCGCGAACGGGAGAGGCGAGTGGCGGGATCGAACGAGCTTCCGTCATCGCGGGACTGCGCGATCAATCGGGATTCTCGAAGACGATTAATGGATCCGTCGGATACGCGAGTCCGCGATCTTGAAAGTCTCTCGATTGTCCTTAGATCTCGATTTCTAGACAATCGCTCTCTAGTCTCGTGCGAACCGCTTCTAGACAAGCGATCGAGACTCAGCGATCGAGAGAGTACAGATTTTGGAGACGTGGATGGTGCTCTGGATTCAGATATTTTTATTTCATCATTGTTAATCAGTTTCGTAGCCTCTTCCGGTTCGGCAATCAGGCTCTTGACTAAAGGATTCAAGTTCGGGCAAGCGTCCACTCTAGAAATAAATGTTCTTTTGTAATTTCTGCAAGAAGCAATTTTCGGAAACATTTATATCAAGCAAGAAACCACACAAACGAAGAATGCAATTAAAAATACATTTATATTTTGAATAAAATTGAATAAATATCGCACGACATTTTTTTATAACAGACAAGAGTAATCAAATATCAAATGTTAGAAAGAAATGGTAATAGGAGAATAATAAATAAATAGCAAAATGTTAAAAAGACTTTGAAATATTACGACAAAAATTATAAAGGGATTTCAAAAAATTTGAATTTAATGTTAAATGTTCATAGAAGAAAAATATTAATTTCATACTGATGAGGAGCTTGATGCGTGAGTTCAGGACCCGCAAGACTGCCGGCATGTCCTTCCCTATCTCTGGACACCAATCCTAACGTCAGACATGCCAGCGATACTATCAGAAAACCGATGCACAGCCAGGATCGTACGGGCAGCACCACGTGGCGTGTACGCCGCATCCTACAAAATATTATTACAATTCTCATTCTTCTTGCATAAATGCAATAAAAAGCAATTCTACCTCCCCCCTCCCCCGCCCCGTTATTCGCTTATCAAATTAAAATATGAAAATCGCATTCAAAAATTGCAAAACTCAGGACAAATAATATTAATAATTATATAAAATAATATTAATAATTAACAATAAACAATATATTATATCTCGGAGAACAAAGAGATTATTTTTTGTGTATAATATGTTTGTATGTGAAAATCTCTTTTTTCTTATTTCTTTATTTAACAATGTCCCGTTTTGAAAGTTGGAAAGATTTCAAAAAATTTCGAAAGATTTTGCATTAGATTTTAATAATTTAAGAATTTAAGAATTGCGGTAAAAAGTGCCATACCTGAGGAACTAAAGACTATCGTGACCAAGTTCTCCTATATTTTCAAAGTGCTCGAAAAGAGTGCTCTTCAAGTTTTCAAGCGAGAAGTGCTCCTCGTTGGTGCTTCGGGAAGCTGCTGACGCCGGACATCCCGAGGGAGCGGCTTTTATACCCCGTAGCAAGCGTCTTGTAATTTAATAAAAGCGTAATTCACCGCTTATCAGCGACGGCCATATGGTGCCCCATACGCTAGTGCGAAAAGATCGCCGTGAACAAAGCGCGAGTGGGCAATGCTGCGAGTGGGAAGATTGGAAAATCGCGACGCGTTCGGTTTAACCAACCAGAAAATTGCGAAACGGGCTGTCTACGGGGTGGCAATCGCGCGTGGGTGTTCTTATAAAACGGAAGCTTAATTCCCCCCGAAGGGGTCGAAATCGCTCTCGTATAAAATCGTTAAGCGAAATCTCTTTCAATTTAATAAGTCTGATTTGATAGACAAGATATTAAATATATCTTATATGAAAATTTATAAATTTGTAATTAATTATAATGATTTTAAATTTTATATTGAATCTATTACATTGTTTTTCATGTTGCCTTTTTTATAATATTTAATTAATAATATAAATTTGAATAATTTTTTCAAATTTATATTATTAATTAGTATCTAATTTGTCATAAAAATCTTGATCTTTTTAACGGAATTAGGAATTTAAAAAGTGTAGGATGAAATAAAGTATCGGCATAAAAATATTTACGAGACAATGTTCGCAGATATTTATTTTTACAAAATAGACACGCATTACAAAACAATAAAAGAAAAGGTGTTTACAAAGGAAAGGTGTACACGTATACGTCTTATAAATAGAATTATTAATAATTATGTATTTACACATTATATTATATTATATATTTCTATATTTATATATATATGTATATTTCTATGTATATATCTATGTATATATTCGCTTAATGTCCTGGATCGACGATATCGATTTTCATTCATCTCTTTAGCAGAGAAATCTGATATTAGTTACCTAATATTTGAAGAATATTCCGACTTTTCTCGAAGATCGGAATTCATTTGAGGAAATCGCTCGCTGCAAAGATACTTAAGTTAATAAATTAATCAGGCTCGTCTTATAAATTCGGAAATATACAGGAAACGTTCGTAATACGCAGAGAACCGTCTTTATAAGTAATATTGACAGTGCGAATCGCATTCATCATACAGCGCCGTCGTTGACTATTCACTTGAGGCATCTTATAACATAATGGACACGACAATGATAATGACCAGGTTTATCACGGGAATGTAAGGAACTCCGGAGGTACCCGATGTGAAATTCAGTTCGCTGCAAGTTGTGTCATTCGTTTCCGGTAGTGCCGTATAATTCGGGAAGTTCTGGATATCTGCCGGCTTGAAGAATCAATTAAAAATTAATATATTTATGATAATTTATGATAATTAATATGATAACAATTAATAATATGCTAACAAAGTTAATTAATATAATATAATCAAACAAATCACCTGACAATTTTTTTTCAGGTATTTTAGAATTGCAACTTTTAAATTGTAATGAGAAGTAAAAATTCGAATATGTCAGAAAATCTTACCAGTGCTAATTGATCATCCCTTTTTCTGCAAAATGTCATATGTCTACCGTGATAAAGACTGTTTTCTATCTTGCTTGCGAGTAATTCCTCTGTCCACGGCATGGCTAACATATGTTCTGCCATAGTTCGACCTGAAAGTTTAAAAAAAATGTAAGGAACATTTAAAATACTATTTTTAATCATGTAAATATTTTACAATTATTTTAAGTCAATGTTTTAATTATTCAACTTTCATAATAATCCCATTTTTATATAATTACCTCGAAATTCTTCAGGTTCCTCAATAACGAGTTGCGCAAAGATGTTATTGTCCTCATTCCCTTTCGTGTAATCTCTCATTGCTCTTAATGCAGACTCAGCTTTTTTAACGACAGTCTTGCTGATCTCATCTGACGAAAGGTCAGTTCTAAAATTTTTTATACAAACAGCAAATTTAAACTAGATGTCAAAATTAATTTATGTTCTTTACATAAATGTATCTTAGATATACGATACAATTTTTTGTATTATCCCTTTCCTCTTTTTTTTTTTAGGCAATATCCGAAAAAGAATAAAAATTATTTTTTCACTTATATTTGAATTCGGAAAAATCCGTATAGATCATGTATAAATTAAGTTAAGAATTTTCATGATAAGTAGCAAAGAAAAGACTTCATTGAATCGTGACGTCGTTGACAGTTATCTCAATTATCTCAATTAACTCACTCATTTGTCAGGAATAGTTTCTCCAAGTAATTCATCGTCACCCCCCGGAAACTGGACACGCCGAGAGTCTCGAAAAGGTCCTTAACGGGCGTCATGCTGTAACAGGCGGCGAGAGGTGTTCTGGGATAATGCATGACGAACGCTAGGCACATCTCTTGAGAAGCCGCGTAACCACCTAAAGTCGGTCTGGTTCTATCCAAAGTGCCGTAGACGCACTCCGCGACTAGCTCGTCACCAGGCAGCACGTTCACTTCTTTCTCCAGAGTGTGAGATTGCTGGTAATCGAAGTCAAAGTGATTGTCCTGGACTATCCTCGGCAGTTCCTTACCTTGTCGAATGTGCTTCAGACTGAGACGTCGACCGGCTAAGTGTGAGTGCAAGACGACCGATACTATATTGATACCATTCTCGGGCAACATCTAAAAAACAGAATTTAAGTTAAGAATTTCAATTTTATATATTTTTTTATCTACATATGTATTCTTGTCTTCTTATATTTAATACTTATAATTTTTGAGATTAAATTTTTGAGATGCAACATGCGTTAACATGCCTATATGTTAGTGATAAATGTAAACTTTCTAAAAAATGTTTAAATTAAGAAAGGAAATAATAAAAATTATTATATTTTATTTTACTTTATTTTAATATTTATTATTTATATCTTTGTTATAAACAGAAAAGACGGTTTTACCGAAGTATTTAAAAATTTGTTCAGATATAAATTTGACAATAATTATTGTTGAATCATAAAAATTATCATGTAGAACGTTTAAGTATAATAGCAATAGTTCAAGAAAAATTTTTATACATATTCTGCTACTCAATTTGAATATTTTACATAATTATTTTGTTGACCTAACAAAATTATTGTTTTCAAATCTGTAGCTGTCCAAATTTTTAAATATTTCAGTAAAATCGTTTTTTTCGTGTATAAATCTAGTTAAAATAATAAAAAAATAATCTAGTTGAATATGTTGTTCAGTTAAATATGTTACCGTATTGGTGCAGTGCGGAGTGCAATATCCGGCGGTGGCATATTCCTTTTGTCGCGGCGGTATCAGATGAAGAGGACTCACTGCCACACCGGCTACGAGGATGCCCGCGTCCTTGGAACGAAGCGTCGGAGTGAAATAAAGTCTTATGCCGCTGCTATCAAGCACCTTTTTCATGCTCGGATTATTATAATGAACTTCTAACATATAGTACGAGTTCTCCTTGCGTTCTGCGATAGGTATACCAACGTGTTCCGGCATCCATTCTCCTGCAAAACAAAAGATGATTCTGTTAAAGCATTCGTAAAATCAAATGATCTTCACGCAATTTGTCTAGGAATTTGTTTTTCAATTCTTTTTAAGAATAAAGGAATAGGAATTTACATACGAAAATTTAAATACGAAAAAATTTTTCTGAATTCTCTAATTTTCAAAGCAAATTTTGTTAGAAATTCCGGATAAGATGAAATTTTTAAATGTCTTACAAATCTTACAAATAAATATATATTTATTGCACAAAGTCCTTAAAATTTTCCATTTATAAAAAAATTTATAAATCATAAACTAAAATTAAGAATCACTCGACTTTCAATAACTAATTTTGAAAAAAATTATGAGTACTCTAAAAAAAATGAATATTTTATATTACATAAAAATTTTCAAACTTTATTTTTAAAAACTACAAACCAAAAATTATATAATAACCGATATAAAATTTAACCTTTATAAGACTATTAAAATAAATATCTCTCTTCATCCCTATTAAACAAAACTGCAATTTCTAATATGACATATATTTCCAATATTAAATATTAGATTAGTCGTAAGATTAGTATACTCTGATATTTAGAATAAATCTATTACGAATTGTTATCGTTAGCAATTCAATTGATAAACTGACTTTCGATGAATAATATAAAGATAAAATATTAGAAAAAAATCAACTTCAACAAAATTTTCTGAAATTTCAATAAAGCTGTTTAATTTTTAAAAACAAAAATTAAAAATTAAAAAGACCCGACAGGCCTTAATGTTAAAAAACAAAAGTTGAACAAAGGAGCATAAATTTTCTTTAATTTTTCAAGGTATAAACAAATTCCCTGAAAATTCCAGACCTTCCAGATTTTTTTTCAGGTAGTAGATACCTTATAAAATCTAAATCGGTTTTATCAGTCTTCTACATATCTTGACATTCTGGATTTTTACGAGAAATTTCATGCCATGTTACGTTGCCGAAAAGATGAAGGAATCAATCTATCTATCTTGTGGCTCAACGTTCTGTCTGTATTTTGTAGGCAATTTACCTTTACTGCCACGGGCCCAAGCAAGGATAGGTTGCATACACGAATCCCATGCTCGTGGCGTCGTTGGGCTGTAGCAGCGGGCACCAGACATCCTGGCGTGTTCGCCGAGGATCGAGTCCGTTGAGGCACACTCATATAGGATTATGTGATGTACCAAATCTTCATTGGCCTTTTCGACAAGCGGTACGTACTAAAATGCATAAATAATGCAATGAACGCGAGACACCTCATCTCACCTTGAATTAAATGATTTTTTTTTAAATTCGCGCGAGAGCCTCTTCGAATTTTTATTTTGGGAAAATTACACGCCGAACTTAAAGGATTATTGACGAGAGGGATCTAAGTTGTCATAAGACAACTTGGGCTTCCGCGACGGGATCCTGGGAACGATTGTGATCGTTTTTCCCGCGAGCTCGCCCGATTGACAGTCGGCGAACGTTTCGATACGCGCAGTGACATTATTCCGGGTCTCTTCTTTATTCTAATGACGCGCGCGTCACGACGTCCGGCTTGAATGACCGTGATTCGTGAAGCACATACGAATAAGGCCCAGCCTTTGCATTCCATCACAGTGCCGGGACTTATTCTCAAGAGATTCGCGTCTCTACTTGAGAAACCTGTTAGCGAGAATTTGCATCGCCATACTTACCCCTATCATGTGGTGTTTTGTTTTCAACGTGGGCTTGAAGATCTTGCACCAGTAGATGGTATCCGTATCATTGTTCACTTCAAACTGTCAAATCGGGAATATCTCTTAAGTCGTAACTCATCGTAAGAATGAAGAAAATAGGAGATTTAAATTTAAATTAAATTCGATTTGTAAGTATTGATAGGACTATTAATTTGTACCACTATTAATTGTTTATAATAATATTGAATCATCTTTGGCTTCTTATTCCGTTGACAAATGTATAAGCGAATATTTTAATTATTTAAATTCTTTCTTAATTATCTAAATTTGCTTGACAAATAAAGCTAAGAATATTAAGAAGGGAGAGTTGTTGTTTTACCAGGTTAAGCTTCACGTCCCAATGATGCATATTATGAGTCTCTCGCGGTGGCGAATGTGCCGCAGCTGTCTTCAACCTTAGAGCCTTTCCACCTCGTTTGTCCCCGTGCCATACCCCCGTGTTTAATTCGGGATCGGTCTCGTGTAGCGCCCACAGCACTCTGACAGTGTCGCCCTAAAATCGCAAAATCGCGAATTTCGTTCAACTTAGAATAATCACAATTCACCAATATTACGTTCCAAAAATATTTGTGAGTCACACTTCTTGCTTTCTTTTTATTTTATATTATCTCTCGACAAATAATATAAATCTCGAAGTATTGTAGTGAGATGACTGCAATTAAAATCGAGTACGGTTGATCGGCGGAGAATTGCGTCGTGAAGAAAGAGGACAGATGGCATGCTAAAACGCCTAAATATCGCCACGGGAATTCGGGGCAGCGGGGCCTTAAGGCCTCTTAAAGCCGCGGGGCCTCTGCTTCCCGCGAGCATAAATCGAAAGAGGGTTCTCCGCGAATTCTACGGAGCTGCGACGGTTGTACAGTAAATCTTTCGAATCGCGTTTGCCCCCTCTCCCTTTCTCTCTTTCTTTCTTCCGTAGACTCTTTTAAAAGCCGGCGAGATACGCACGGCGGGATTTGCTTTCTTCTCGCGCGTTTTAAATACAGAGTAGTGGAGATTAGAGGTCGGGAGGTAATTTGGCGTTAGCGAGGCGCGATAAATTTCCGGCCCTTGCTGCGTTAATGCATGCTTGCGAATCATATATATACGTTGACATCCGAGAATAACTCCTTTTAATTACGTGTAATATTTGAAGTTCCCGCGGATCGCAAGATCTATGAGATTTATTTCAAGTTTAAGTGACTGAGTACACCTTACAATGTTTATTCGCAGTAGATCTTGACTCTAAACGTTCCGATTTGATCTATGAACTGTTTTGCTGGATATAGATCTAAAACATGATTATATAAGAACATCTAAATTATTAGAATATAAAAAATTTTGAAATATTATCATTATTATTTAAACGTTCTTCATAATAATTTTGATAATCGTGATTTTTTTTTATTGAATATAGATAAATCTTTACATTAGGGGACATAACTTCGATGACCTTGACCTTGATATATGTTATAGAGGTGAAGGTACTGATCAACTTTTCCTTATAACTTAATTGGCGATCTCGTATAGTTTTTGAGATATACTTTTATAAATGTTAATAAATTATGATAAATATGTTGAAAAACGGAGCCTCCTCTAATGACGACCTTGACATATGTCAGGATCACTACCCTTGAGAAGATTTTAGATAGCGGACACTGTTCGTTAAAAAATTATTAACAAAAAAATAAATTCGTGAAGCAACATGGTAACAGTATAATGTGGAAATAAGTACTGACTATGAGAATGCCATTGACCTAATGTAATCAAAACAAAGCGAGAAATCTACGTGTGTTGCGCTATGTGCACGTACTTTGGATAAAAACACAAATTCTCTGCTTTAAAAACAAATCATTTTCTTATATAAAATAGGAGATTTGTAATTTAAAGCAGATAATTTGTATTTTAAAGCAACAAATTTGTATTTTAAATCAGAGAATTTGTGTTTTTAATGATCTGCTTTAAAAACAAATTATTTTTTTATATAAAATAAAAAAATTTATAATTTAAAGCAGAGAATTTGTATTTTAAAACAGGAAATTTGTATTTTAAGTCAGAGAATTTGTGTTTTTAAAACAAATATAGTTTAGTATTCAAATATATGTATTTATTTTATATGTATTTTTTTTATATGGATTGAAATTTAATTTTTATCAATGTATCAACATATAGATTTGAATTGAACTTCATGCAAAAAGTTGTAAATTCATATGGAATCTCACTTCGCACTGAAGTGTATGCTTGGAAACAGTCAGTATGTTCCGCCCCCCTCCCGCCTATACGGAGGCTCCACTATCAAAAGAGTTAACCTAATCCAACTCGTATTACAGTGATAGTCAAAATAATAATAATAATAATAATAATAATAATAATAAATTAATAATAATAATTTAGCAATTTATTTTTATTATCGATAATGCTCGTGAACACAGACACAACATATTAACGTTACAAATGACGCATGACTAATATCTAATAAATAAACTGAAAGATACCAAAATATAAATATTCCTTGAAATAACGTGTGTGTGTGTGTGTGTGTGTGTGTGTGTGTGTGTGTGTGTGTGTGTGTGTGTGTATAATTA